TTTTGAATAGGGTGCTGGCGATTTTTTGGGGGCCCCCCATAGCTTCTGCCGGCCCCTAATCTTTCCTTTGGGGCCCCCCTAACCCCCTCCTCATGCTGCTGCCCCGGGGCCAGAGTCCCTTTATGGGTCCCTTAAAGGCCCCCCCATTGCTGCTGTCCCCTCGCCACACTCTCCCCTGTGCCACTTTTAGGGTTTCCCCACAAATGCGGTGTTTTTTGAATTTTTTTACATAGGGTGCTGGCAATTCGGGGCCCCCCCAAAGCTTTCTGCCAGGGGCCCCCTTTTTGCCAAAGGGCCCCTTTTTAACCCCCCTTTTAAAAGCGCTGCCAGGGCCAGAGTCTTCTGGGTCCCCGTACCGGCCTCCCATTTGCTGCTGTCCCCCATCGCCCACTCTGCCCTGTGCCACTTTCAGGTTCCCACACACTGCTGGTGTGGGTTTAATTTTTTTACATTGGGTGCTGGCAGATTACGGGGGGTCCCATAGCTTCTGCCAGGCCCCCAATCTTTCCAGGGGGGCCCTTTACCCCCCTTTCCCCATTTCTGCCTGGCCCAGGGGCCCACCCCCCTTTTTTGGTTCCCTCCCCTGCCATGTGCCCCCTTTCAGGCTCCTCCCACCCGCTTTGGGGTGTTGAATTTTTTTGACATAGGGTGTGGAGATTTTTGGGGCCCCCCATACTGCTGCCAGGCCCCTAATCTTTGCCATGGGGCCCCCATACCGCCTCCTCATGCTGCGGGGCCCGGGCCAGATTTTTCATTGGGGCCCCGTACGGCCTCCCATTGCGGGTTCCCATCGCCCCAAACCCCTGCCATTCCCTTTTTAGTCCCCCTCCCCAACCCGCTGGTTTTGTTAATTTTTTTTTCTTGGGTGCTGGCAAAATTACGGGCCCCCCCCTTTTTTGCTGCCAGGCCCCTAAACTGCCATTGGGGCCCCCCTTTAAAGCCTCCTCATGCTGTTTGCCCCAGGACCCCCAATTTTGTCTCCCTGCCCATTTGTGCCACTTTCCCGGTCTCCTCACACTGCCCGGTTTTGTTGAATTTTTGACTTTGGGTTTCTGGCAGTTTTCGGGCCTCCCCCATTTGCTGCGCCCGGGCCCCCAATTTGCCATGGGCCCCCCATACCGCCTCCCCCATGCTCCTGCCAAATCCAGAGTCTTTTCATGGGTCCCCCGTATGGCCTTTCCCCTTTTCTGTGTTCCATCCCCCACTCTGCCCATTTTGCCACTTTTCCCGGTCTCCCCACACTGCTTGGGTGGGTTTTTTTTTTTTGACATTGGGTGCTGGCAGATTAAGGGGCCCCCCATGCTGCCCGCCAGGCCCCTTTTCTTCCTTTTCCCCCTTAAATTACCCACCCCCTCCCCCATGCCCGCTGCCAAAGGGCCCCCAGGTCCCATGCCATTGGTTTTACTTTCAGGTCTCCTCACATGTTTGGGGTTTTTTTCAATTTTTTGACATTGGGGGCTGGCAGATTACGGGCCTTCCCATGCTGCTGCCCAGGACCCTGGCAGTAATCTGCCAGGGGCCCCCGTACGACTCCTCATGCTGTGACGTTGCAACAAGGTGGAATTCAACCTACATATGTTAGACCGCCTTTACGAACAGCGAAAGGCCATCACGATTTCCTGATGTTAAAAGGGATAAAGGTACTCCCTGTGTAACTTAGATGTCAGCCATTGGCAGCTCATGCGTGACACCTGCGCTTGCTCAGGCCCTTTGAGGAGGCCACGCTATTCGTGAGTCGGCAGGACTATGGGATGAACGACGTCTAGACGTGGCGCACAGATCTCAACGCCACATGACCCCTGTGGGGGCAGGACAGGAAGAAGAGGAGGAGGTAGAGGGAGGACATTGGTGCTCAGGAATTATTGAGTGAAATGGGTGGTTTTTCCACTCAGCGGACAGGAGTGGAGGAGCAGGAGCATCTGGTAGAGGAGGAGGAGGAGGAGACAGAGGACCAGACGCACCGTGGCAGTATGCTGTGGAGATGGAGGCAGGGAGTCCCTCGCATTCCTTGGCACAAATGGCCCATAGCATGCTCGGTTGCTTGCGTAGCGACAGCCGAATAATAACCATCAGACAGAGGGATGACTTTTTGGCTGTCCACCTTGTTGGACCCTCGCTACCGTTCAAAAATGGTGGCCTTTTTCACACCTGCTGAGAGGGAGGCCAAAATAACGTACTATAAAAACCACCTATGTAGTCAGCTGGTCTCTGCCTGTCTGCGCCAACGTCCATCCTCAGACACTGTGGGCCCTGTGCGCTCGCGTTCCGCTGCTGCATGGCAGCAGGGGAGGGGTGGGGTGGTAGGAGCAGTGGCAGCTCCACCAGCAGCGGCTGCCTCAGTCTGCAGTCGATGATGAGTAGCTTTCTTCACCAGCGCAGTGAGGAAACTACTAACCAGCCGCAGCAGCAGCAGCAGCATCAGGTGGACCTGGAGCAGGACCTCAAACAACAGGCTTAGGCCTACTTGGACAGCACCCTGCCAACCGAGGTAGACAATCCCTTGACTACTGGGCAACGAAACTTGACCTTTGGCCCCAACTAGCTGAATTTGCCCTTGAAAGGCTGTCATGCCCGGCCAGTAGCGTGGCATCGGAGCGCGTGTTTAGTGCGGCAGGAGGTATTGCAACTCCGCGGAGGACACGACTGTCCACCCAAAGTGTGGAGAGACTCACGTTTGTGAAAATGAATCAGGCGTGGATTAGTCTGGATTTCAAACCACCAGTTCCTGACACAACTGACTAAATCCGCCATGAATCATGCCCCAAACATGTGCCACTTTCAGGTCTCCTCACACTGCTGGTGTGTTCCATTTTTTGTCATAGGGTGCTGGCAGATTACGGGCCTCCCATAGCTGCTGCCAGGCCCTAATCTGCCATGGGCCCTATACCGCCTCCTCATGCTGCTGCCAAGTCCAGAGTCTCTCATGGGTCCCTGTACGGCCTCCCATTGCTGCTGTCTCCATCGCCACACTCTGCATGTGCCACTTTCAGGTCTCCTCACACTGCTGGTGTATTCCATTTTTTGTCATAGGGTGCTGGCAGATTACGGGCCTCCCATAGCTGCTGCCAGGCCCCTAATCTGCCATGGGCCCCTATACCGCCTCCTCATGCTGCTGCCAGGTCCAGAGTCTCTCATGGGTCCTGTACGGCCTCCCATTGCTGCTGTCTCCATCGCCACACTCTGCCATGTGCCACTTTCAGGTCTCCTCACACTGCTGGTGGGTTCCATTTTTTGTCATAGGGTGCTGGCAGATTACGGGCCTCCCATAGCTGCTGCCAGGGCCCCTAATCTGCCATGGGCCCCCGTACCGACTCCTCATGCTGCTGCCAGGCCCGTAATCTGTCATGGGCCCCGTTGTCGCTTGTTGGCATATTCCGCTCGTTCAGATGCTCCTTCTCTGCTACTCCTCTTCACGGATTCCGTCAGCAGTCTTTCTTGGAATCCGTTTCCAAGAGACAACAGTTTGCGAGCACGCACCAGACGGTGCAGAAGCTGAACGTCCTCCTGTCCAAGTTGCTGCTGCAGGCTCGTAATCTGTCATGAGCCCTGTACCGCCTCCTCATGCTGCTGCCAGGTCCAGAGTGTGTCATGGGCCCCGTACGATCTCATGCTGCTGCCAGGCCCGTAATCTGTCATGGGCCCCTGTACCGCCCTCCCATGCTGCTGCCAGGTCCAGAGTGTGTCATGGGTCCCTGTACGGCCTCCCATTGCTGCTGCCAGGCCCGTATCTGCCATGGGCCCCCGTACCAACTTCCTCATGCTGCTGCAGGCCCGTAATCTGTCATGGGCCCCTGTAACCGCCTCCTCATGCTGCTGCCAGGTCCAGAGTGTGTCATGGGTCCCTGTACGGCCTCCCATTGCTGCTGTCTCCATCGCCACACTCTGCCATGTGCCACTTTCAGGTCTCCTCACACTGCTGGTGGTTTCCATTTTTGTCATAGGGTGCTGTATGGCCTCCATTGCTGCTGCCTCCACCGCCACACTGTGGCTCCACACTTCTGGTTTTGGCCCCGTGACTGCCCAAATGAGTGAAGTGTGCGGTGATTCTAAGATCGACGGCACTCATCTGCATGTCATACTGAACACTGGACAGTATTATTTCTCTTCCCAGCAGACTCCAGGGCATTTAAATTAAAGGTACAGTGTTCAGCACTAATATTAAAGTCTCTACTGAAAGCCTAGAACACCCTTTTTTTAAGTTAACTAACATCGAATATATTCGATCGAATCGAAATTTTTCCCACGAATTCGCCGAATCTCTCTAATTTGGTCTCATCACAGAGATCACCCGCACGGAGCTGGATCACCCTTTAAAATTTGGACTTTTTTACCCCGTGTATTTTTTAACCACTTCAGTCACTTTATTTTTGTTGTTTTTTCAGGCACATGCGTCATTTTTGACGGTTCACCTTTGCATTTTAATCACTTTTAGCTCTTTTCAGGCCCTTTTCTTATATATTATTTTATTTTTAAACACTGATTTATATTTGATGTTTAGAGGTTTTAAAAGGTTTACCTTTTGTGCTAGCAGCTTTACTACCTTTGGCTCAATATTACCCCTTTTATAAGCTTTTGGGGAAGCGATCAGGGGGGAGTAAAAAAACAAAACCCTTGCATATATTAATTGCCCCCTTTTAAGTCCTCTGCACACTTGATTTTTTAAAGCTGTTGTTTTTGCCCTTTTTAAGTTTTTTTTTTGCAGTTTTAAACCCCCAGCGTGTTTCCTAGTGTCCGGCCACATGACAGTGTCAACGTTTTTTTTCAGGGTTTTTTTTTGGGTGGAAAAAAAAAACCCCGGACTAGTGGGTTTATAGTGGGGTTTTTTTTGTTGTAAAAAAAAGTCTAAAGAGCAAAAGTGGTACAATGATGCAAACAGATTTTTGTATTTTTTGACCAAAAAAAAAATTATATTTTGGGAAAAAAAAACAGTAAAAACCACAAACGCCCAAAAACGCAAGAAAACGCCACTAAAAATAAAGCAAAAATGCTAAAAAAAAGCTGAAAAACTCACGTTTTAAAAGTGACTTTACACAGCTAACGTTACCAGCTTATCAAAAAGTCCCGTGTGCAGAGGGCCCAAATGAAGCCTTAGGGGGTCTAATTGCGCTGGAGGCGTAACGGAAAAGCCTTTTAACAGCAGCATTGTCAGTCTGGGAAGGTAGTTTCGATGCACTAGTAGGTTTCTGTAAATTAAAAATGACTAAAAAATGAAGCAAAACTCCCGTAACACTTATAAGCAGTTACAGCCCCTTGTTTTATTTTTTGGGGTACGTTTTTATAAATGAATAAAAGCTGATCATTGTAGGCAGCCCCGGGCAGTGGTAAAGGGAACTGAACCCCCCTATACTTTACCCCCAAGGAAAAAGGCCCCTCTCAGCATTTGATCTGCAGTTCATTAGAGATGAGCGAATTATTCAAAAACGATTCGGCTGATTCGCTGAAATTTTAGGAAAAAATTCGATTCGATGCGAATTTTTCGCTACGAAGTTT